TTCCTGTCAGAATCGGGCTCTCGCCTCCTGAGCGCCGCGCGCATTCGTCTTCCACGTCTGCAGCGCTTCCAGGGCTGGAGGACGATTCCTTCTCAAAATGAAGCTCTCGCTTGAGATCCCTTTGATGTTAATTGCCGGGAGCTTGATTTTACTTGCCCGAATTTTGAGCTTGTGTAGCAGCTGCACAGACGGCGGTTCCTGTCCAAAAAGGGGTTCTCGCTGAAAGAACAACGTAAGCTGGTGCAACAGTAACAAGAGTGGGGGTGGGTGGATCGGATCCATGTCAAAGCGGGTCTCTTGCTGGAGGTTCATGGTCCCACCCTTCTTACGAGCCAGGAGGTTCTGCTAGGAGGATGCAGGGCTTTACCAGTTCAAAGCGGGGCTCTCGCCTGGATGGCAGACCCGTCGGGAGCTCGTCTCTCAAGGGGGGCATCTGTCGCAGTGACAACACAGGGAGACTGCAAGAGACTCGTTTGGCTGCAGCTCGGGGCGGGAGGGTGTGCTGCAGCACCGCTTAAGCATCCTGGGCTTGCTTCGGTACTCTTCCACCTGCTCCCCCTCCTCCTCCTCTTCCTCCTCCTCCTCCTCCTCCTCCTCCTCCATTTCCTCCTCCTCCTCCTCCCTCCTCCCTCCTCCTCCTCCTCCTCCTCCTCCCCTTCCTTCTCCCAACCCTTCAAACCTCTTCTGGCTTCTTTTCAGACGTCCTCCTCCTCTTCCGCCGTCCTCCTCCGCCTCGTCCTCCTCGACTCGCGCGCCTGCGCTTTCGCCGAGGTTGCTTGGGCCGAGATGGCTTCGAAGGAAGGGGGCGGGGGCGAGAAAGATGAGAGAGAGGAGACAGAGAGAGAGAGAGAGAGCGACAGAGATGGACAGAGAGAGGCGGAGGGGAGTGTGATGAGGAGGAGGAAGAGGAGAAGGAGGAGTCTGGGTAGGACGACAAGGCGACCTGGCGGCCGAGGAAAGCACGGGGACGATGAGGACAATCGAGGGAGGATGGTTGCAAAGCCAGCTCGCAGGGCGGCCAACCGGCACACGAAGATGCCGACAACGACGCAGAAGATGACGCGGATGACAACGATAACACGTTCAGACATAGCGATGCTACTACGGGTGAAATGGCTGTTGGCGCGCGCGCTCGCGGGGGAGGGGAGGGGAGCATGAGGACACTGCCGCTTGCTAGCCGGCCGACCGCTCTCTCACGCGACATGCTCTGACATCCCCTCTCAGTCGAGGAGGAGCAGGCGGAAGCGGAGGAGGATGTGACCGAGGATAGGATCAGGAGGCTAGACGGGAAGGAGAAGGGATGCAGGCCGCGCATCGATGCGTCGACGCGCCCACACGTCGGTCGATGGTGTCCGTGCAGACGCAGCTCTCGAGGCGGAGAACAACTGGAAAGAGGAGGGGTGATGGCAGGAAAGGGAGAGGAGGGGGAAGGAGTTGGAGGAGAAGGGAAGAATAATGATGATACTGCTGCGGCTGATGATGATGGTGATGACGATGATGACGATGATGAAGATGATGATGCTGTTGATCATGATGATGGGGATGATGATGCTGGTGCTGATGGTGGTTATTCTGTTAATGATGGTGAGGATGATGAGGCTTATGATGATGAACCTTATGAGGAAATCTGGTGATGATGGTGAGAACGAGGAGGAAGTGGAATGATGATGCCGATGATGCTTATGACAAAGACGACGATTATGATGCTGAGTATGATGCTGCTGATGAAGACGCTGCTGATGATGATGATGCTGCTAGTGATGGTGAGGATGATGCTGTTGATGATGACTGCGAGGAGGAAGGATGTTGATAAGGTTGAGGAGGAGAGAGAGGGATGATACTGCTTGTCATGGCGACGGTGATGGTGATGATGCTGAGGATGATTATGCTGACGATGCTGAAGATGATGCTGCTGATGATGATGCTGAGTATGCTAATGATGGTGATGATGATGCTAATGATGACTACGAGGAGGAAGGGTGATGATGCGGATATGCTGATGATGAGTCGGGATGATGATTCTTGTCATGACGACGGTGATGACGACGATGATGATGGTGATGATGATGCTGCTGATGATGGTGGTGATGTTGATGATGGTGAAGATGATGGTGGTGATGGTGATGATGATGCTGTTGGCGATGATGCTGATGCTGCTGATGATGACGCTGCTGCTGATGATGATGATGATGCTGTTGCTGCTGCTGATGATGATGATGATGATGATGACCACGATGATGAGGATGCTGATCGTGGTGATGATTCTGATGATGCTGATCTTGAAGATGGTGATGCTGATGCTGATGACTAGTACTAGTATTATGATGATGGCCGCGATGAGGAGGAGGATATGTGAGAGCGGGGAAGGTGATGAGGAGGCGAGGGTGAGATAGGGGGGAGGGAGAAGAGGGGAGAGGAGGAGGAGGAGGAGGAGGAGGAGGAGGAGGAGGAGGAGGAGGAGGAGGAGGAGGACAAGGAGGAGGATGGAGGAGGAGGAGGAGGAGGAGGAGGAGGAGGAGGATGATCAGGATGATGATGCTGAGGAGGAGGAGGATGAGGAGGAGGGAGGAGGGATGCAGGGAGCAGGAAAGGAGGGCGGAAGGGGGAGATGGGAGGAGGCGGGGCAGGGGATGTGTGGGGGGAACGGAGGACGGATGACGACACAACAAAGCGGGCGTCGGTGCCGCTCCCCGTGCGTACGGGCCCCTGGGGACGCATCCCTCGGAGGACAGGGGGCAGGAGGAGCGGGAGCAGGAGGAGGAGGAGGAGGGGGAACGTCAGGGGGGGTTCGGCTCCGGGGGTGGGTGGGCACCTGTGTGGAGTCGGCGATATACATCGATACATCGATATATATATATTATATATATATATATATATATATATATATATATATATATATATATCCCCGACAGAGCGGCGAGAGGCCCCCGTTGGCGGAAGCGCACGTTCCTGGGTGGGTGGGTCAGCGGGCCCCCACCGGCGCGATCATTGGGCGATGGGAGGCCGCCGCGCCTCCCCCCCCTATGAGCCCAGGGCACCTGGGCGCCGCCCCTGAGAGAAGGAGGTCTCGGCGGTCGCCCTGCCTCTGCCAGTCCTCGTGCTGCCAGAAGGGGACGCCAAGTGAGAGGCGAAGCGCCTCCGTGTGCCCCCCCCCCCAAAGGTGCCTGGGTGCACGAGGGGCGCTCGAGGAACCGCGAGCCCCTGCGGAACCAAGGCTGCTGCTCCTTACTCCCGGCGTCGTGACGGGCTTCGTCCTGCTGCTGGGCCTGTGGGAGGTTGGACCAGGCAGGGGGGTTCGCCCTGGGCCCCACAGCGCCTGATGGGCCTGTTTTCCACCACCACCACCACCACCACCATAAGTTGGAGGGGGGATTGAGGGGGTCCTCCTCCCCCTCTTCTTCTTCTTCTTCTTCCTCCTCCTCCTCCTTCTCATCCTCCACCTCCTTCCCCCTCCAACTTATGGTGGTGGTGGTGGCAAACCGGCCCATCAGCGCCTGCGCAGACGGCGAGACGGGCGCCAGGACCGCCGAGGCGCCCCAAGGACCAGCGCCGGGGCCGCCACGTGGCCGACTCCAGAGGCTTCCAACCAATGTGCACATTACTGTCGGGGACTTGTGCCTAGCGCGTCGCAGCGGCGGCCCCAGCGACATTTCTTTGTACCGTGCGAGCAAGGCGTCTCGCGGCTGAGGGCGAGGGGGGGGAGGGGGAGGGGGAGAGGGAGGTGTTCCTAAGTTCACAACTTGTCTGGCTGCCCGGAGGCGCGCACAGCTGGCGCCAGCAGCAGCATGGCTGCGGTCGGCTCGGCCCGCTGCGCAGTCTGCGCCGCGTGCACCGCCCCGCTGTGGTCGCTCGTGCCGCGGGGCCCTTCCAGGTGCAGTGCCTGGGCCGTCCGGGCCCTCCACAAGTCCTGTGGTCGCTCGCGCGCCCCGTCGGTCCAAGCCCTCCTGCGCGGCTCTGGCGGCGCGGGCATCTGGGCTGCGGGGAGCGGCGCAGGCAGCAGGGCCTGAACGGCCTCCTCGGCGAGGGGGGCGAACGGACGTCCGTTATGTTTTGTGAGCGGATCGCGCGTCGCTCCGCTCCGAGGGGCGCGGGGGTAGGAACAGCTCGTGACGTTGGTGCTTTGGGACCGGGACGTGATTAGCGAGTCGCTCCGAAGCATGGTGGGCCAGAACCGGCGGCGCGACACGCTAAACCAAAATTCCTGCCCGTATCACCCCTTGGGAGGGCTGGTTTTGCTTCCGCCGCCTTCCGCCGAGTTTCTGCAAGCGCACCCGCCCGCGTTGTGCCGAGGCCCCGCGGACCAGGACATGTCGCACCAGGACTTTTGTGTTTCCACCTGCAGAGAAAGGAACATGGGGACCGACCGACGGCTGGCGTTGCCGAAGTTGAAATGGACGCTGCGCCTCAGTACAAAAGCGCCCAGAGAAAAAACGTCCTGATGATGAGGATGTGCCAGCCCCACGCCAATCTCCTCCTCGACGCCGCTCTTGGCCGGCCGTCGGTCGATCACAAACTATCTGTGTGTGAACTCCATGCGCATTCCGCCTCAATTCGGCCCGAGGCGGCGGAGTCCCGCGTCTCGGCCCTGCTCACGCCCGGCGCACTGGGTACCGGTGCTTTCGTCATTTCCATCGTAGGCGTGCGGGTGCGCGGCCAGATGCTCCTCCGCAAGCGTCTGGTTGCCGACGCCGAACCGCAAGCACCGCGCGCCATCCAGGAGGACACGGGTGGATTGCAAGCCTCGAAGACGGCTGGCCACTGAGTGAGGTGGAAGGCCAACCAGGCCACGGACAAGACAAACATGTAATGAAACAAATCCGACACAGATCTTAACATTGCACAGACGTTGAATCCAAGACGCACCATCCAGGAAGAGGAGGAGGAGGCAGACACGGAGGGGGAGGGGGCAGGGAGGTGCTTCTCGCCCTGGCCGCACGCCCCCGACTTGCGCTCCGCAGGTGTCGACGGAGGCGGGAGGGGAAAGGCGGCGCGGAAACCGCTCACAAGCGAGACGACCTGCCACCGCGGCGCTGCCTCACGAAGGCGGCCAGGGCGTCCGTGAACCGGTCCGCGTCGGCAGGGCCTGTCGAGGTCACCCAGAGCCGCAGAAATACCAGGAGGTGTGCTGTTCGCGACGTGTGCTTCTAGTACGCAGCACCCCGCATTTCTGAATAAGGAAACAGGGGGAGGGCGCGGGGTGGATCGCGGGTGGGTCGCGGGTGAGTCGCGGGATGGGTTGCAGGGTGGGTCGCAGGATGACAACAACCAAGAAAAAACAACAAAAAACACCAACAACTACAATCATTCTACCTTCACGCGCTATGCGTCTGCATGCCGCATGCATCCATCATGATGCTGCCCCTTTATGTAGGGGGACTACATGAAAAAAGGGTGCCGATATTCCTACACCCAGATCTCTTACCAAAGGAGGTCGATCCAACACCTAACCCGAGGCACTTTCTCACTTTCAGCTCGAACGACATATCAATTACGCCACCGAGGAGCCCCACATACTTAGTTTAAATCCTATGCGTTCGCTTATTATGTTTTCATATATGCGCAATCCTGCTTTCTGAACCCTCGTTACATATGTTTCCCCTTTATTGTCCAACGCACCATTGCTTGAAACTCCTCCCTCCGCGCTCAGGGACCACCCCCTGCGCGCCCCCTCTGGCGTCGAGAAAGTGCCACGCCTGCCGTACCCTGCGCCATGACCCGCATAGAGACCGCGCTCAGGACCCCCCCCCCCCGAGCGCTCCCTCTGGTGTCGAGAAAGTGCCACGCCTGCTGTACCCTGCGCCATTGTCCGCAAAGAGACCGCGCTCAGGGACCACTCCTGACCGCTCCCCCTTGTGTCGAGAAAGTGCCACGCCTGCCGTGCCCTGCGCCATGGCCCGCGTAGAGGCCGCGCTAAGGGGTCACCACCCGCACACCCCCTCTGGCGTCGAGGAAGTGTTATGCCTTCTGCGTACTGCGTCATGGCCCGCATACAGGCCGCGCTCGGGGGCCACCCCTGGCGCGCCCCCCCTGGTGCCGAGAAAATGCCACGCAAAGAGACCGCGCTCAGGGACCACCCCTGGCACACACCCTTCTGGTGTAGACGGAGTGCAGTGCCTGCCATGCCCTGCGCCATGGCCCGCATAGCGACCGCGCTCAGAGATCCCCCCCTGCGCGCCAAACTCTGCGAATCTTGCGCGTATGTGTTGTGCGGTGTGCGTGTCATGTGGGTGAATCGGTTTGCGTTTGCGCGTTCCGTGTGTGTGTGTATGTGTGTGTGTGTGTGTGTTTGTAGGTTGTGTGTCAGGCAGTCTGTGGACGTGTGACTCAAGTGGGTGCCCAATCTGTGGTACATACATCTTGGGCTTATGATGCAATGAACACGCCAAATGTGCACTATCGTCGTATGGTCTGGGTGTGCGTGTGTGCGGCTGCATGTAGACGCGTGTCTCATGTAGGTGCCGTGTATTTGTCGCGTGTGGGTGGGAATAGGAGGAGGGGCAAAGGGAGGCGGGTGGGTGAGTGAGACGCGGGTGCGATGCTGGTGCGAAGAAAACCCAGCCTCCATGAAACATGTGAGAACCAACCGTGCGACTTTGGGGAGCGGCGAAGACTCGAAACACAGAATTGGGGCAATATGTCTAGAAGCAGACTTGAACCGCCACAGATTCGAGCCCCGTCCCTACCTCCGAACACAGATGTCTATACATGTGTCTCCTGGGGCCTCTTGGGGCTTTCTTGAGCCTCGTTGGGGCGAGGGGGCCGAAAAGCGCTCCCTGAGCACAGATCCCAATACAAGAAGTGCCTCCTTGGTTTTCCTGGTTCCTCCTGGGAGCGGAAGGGCTGAAAAGCGCTCACAGAACACACATCCCAAAACAGAAACGTACTCCCTGGGGCCTCCTGGGAGCGGAGGAACCGAACAGCGCTCCCCGAACACAGAATCCGAACACAGAAAAATGCCTCCTGGGACCTCCTGGGGGCGGCAGGGCCGAAACACGCTCCCCGAAAACATGTCCTTGGAGCGTCCTGGTACCTCCTCCGCCGACCAAGGAGCGGCAAGACTTCTCTGACGGATTCCAGCGTGCTGCTGAATTGCAAGGAAGTCTCCAGCGAAACGGCAGTTCCAGCATCCGCGAATAGCAGCAATAATACTTTGAGGGGCCCCCTTTGTGGTGCTGAATTGCGTAGAACTCTCAAGCGAAAAAAGCTGTTCCGGCATCCGCGAGTAGTAGCAACCTGGTTCTGAAAGAACCCCTTGTGGTGCTAAATTGCGGGGAGGTCTCATACAAAAAGGCTGTTTCGGCAGCTGCGAGTAGCAGCAACCTGGTTCTGAAAGACACCCTTGTGGAGCTAAACTGCGGGGAAATCTCAGGCAAAAAGGCCGCTCCGGCAAGACTGGTCTGAAGGACCGCCCTGTAGTGCTAAGTTGCAAGGAAGTCTTCGTCGAAACTGCTGTTCTGGCATTCGCAAGGAACGGCAATATTGATTTGAAGGACCCCCTGCGGTGCTAAATTGCGAGGGTGTCTCAGGCGAGATGGCCCTTCCTGAGGTTCGGGCCCTTTCTGGCCAGGGCCTCTCGGAGTAAAGTGTGAGGAAGTATCGCGAAGAGGCGTTAGAGTTGTTGTTGGACACCTGCAAAGGCGCCCTGGCGCTCTCGCCGAGGCGCCGGCTACATGTTCATTGAAAACGAGGCTCACGCTCGAGCGGTTTGGGGGACTGCCAAAACCGGTCCCCAAACAATAACAATGCTCCCGCTCGAGACTTCCTCCTTTTTTACTCAATGCTGGTGTTCTTGCTCGCCGCCGAAAGCCGCCGTCCTAACAAAACCAGCGCTCCCGCTCGAGACTTCCGTTATACCTTGGACTGGCGCGCTAGTCTTTCTCTCGTCGGCGCCGCCCCCAGCAAAAACAACGCACACGCTCGAGGCTTTCTCCCTTTTTTACTCAAGGCGGTGCTCCTCCTCGCCGCCGAAAACCGCCGCCCCGACAAAACCAGCGCTCCCGCCCGAGACGTCCTTCCGTTTTACGCTGGGCTGGCATCCAACTCTCTTTTGAATTGGCGTCACAACGCTCCCGCTCGAGGCTTCCTCCCTTTTTCCTGAAGACGGTGCTGTTCCTCGCCGCCTACAAACCCCGTCCCGACAAAACAACGGCTCCCGCTGGATGCTTCCTCTCTTCTTACTCAAGGCGTTGTTTCTCCTCGCCGCCGAAAGCCGCCGTCCCAACAAAACCAGCGTTCCCGCTGGAGACTTCGTTTTGTTTTACGCTGGACTGGCGCTCTACTCTCTTCAGCATTGGCGCCACTCCCAACAACAGCAGCAACCCTGCTCGAGACTTCCTCCCTTTCTATTCAGGGCCAGGTCCTTGCCTCACCGCCGACAGCCCCCATCCCCACCAAGGCAATCCTGTCGTTCGATACTTTCTTGTGCTTCACCCTTCGCTGGGGTTCCACTGGCGGTCTCGCATCGGCGCAGCAAGGCGCGGGCATATGTTTTCGAGGCGGGATACGTTGAAATTCCTCGGAGGAGGTGTTTGCAAGACCTCATTGGGCGGCAGATCTGGGAATGGGAACAACGGATCCCACTATGGAACGGAGAGTCCCCCATTGCGTGGATGGTTATCATGATGGTCGCATGCTTCGCGTGGAAACATCGCGCATGAGGGTCAACTGATTGTTGTTGTTGCTATTGTTGTGGTTGTTGTTGCTGTTGTTAGTGTTGTTGTTGGCGTTGGTGTTGGTGTTGTTGCTGTTGGTGTTGTTGTTATTGTTGCTGAGGTGGCTATTGTTGTTGCTGCTGCTGTTGCTGAAATTGTTGTTGCTATTGTTGTTGTTGCTGCTGCTGTTGTTGTTTTGGGGCGGTTTGGCCGGTACCCCGAAACGCTTGAGCGTGAGCCTCAACATTGAAGGAAATGCAGCTGGCGCCGAGGCGAGAGCGCCAAAGCGCTTGTAGGGGGTCCAACAACAGTAACTGTTTAGTAGTTGAAATTCGACAGCCGTCAACTTAAGACTGTTCGTTCTTATTTGCGCGCGCGTCGTTCAGCATGTATATCCCAAGCCCTCTATACCCGCCCTCGTCGTCTTGGATTGTACTACCCTTGGGGGTATACCTTCCTTACCCGCCACGTGTAGTTGGCGCAGTCCCTAGAACAGGGTAGGGGAGGATGGAAGGGACAACTGGAAGAGAGAAGGATGGAGCACGACAAACGTTAGCAGGAGGGGGGTTTAGGAACAAGAAAAAAGTGGCATGACCAGACGGGCGGGTCGGGCGGGCGGGCCCAGACGGCGGGGTCGAGCGGACGGGTGGGGATGTCTCTGCCGATAGCGCGATTCCCAAGTAACGCGTGAGGAAATCCAGAGTGAGAGGGTGTTTCCTGAGTGTTGAGGGCGCGGCCTTTGAATACATTGTGAGGAAACTTTACGCGATAGCTCGATTCCTGCATAATGTGTAAGGAAGTCCCGCGCGAGGGCGCGATTCTTCAATACACGGTGAGGAAGTCTCGGGCGGGAGCCGCTGTTGTTGTAAACCGGGGGCCAGGGGCACGGTCAGAGGCCCAAGACTTCCCCTTCCAAAGCTCAGGGTGCGAGCCCCCGGGGGGAGCATGTTGATTGAAAGCACCAGGTGCACCCACCAGGGGGGATCAACGATAACTTTTCCTCAGGAACGGCAGTTCCACAACAGTAGCAACAAGCACAATCTGGGCCATGGAACCCCACTTCACCCACGCACCCAGGGACGGTGTAAGACCGTTCGGCCTCCTAACTCTGTTTTCTTCTATGCCGCCCCACAGTCGGACTTGACTGGGCAGGACACGCGGGAGGACGCAAGACCCTCCCGAGGGCCACATCGCTTATAGGGATGTGAGAGGCAACTGCTGCGAGACACAGGACACAAAGGCACCCTTGAGTTGGCAGGGCCGGCCCACTGATCAGAGCCGACTGCCGTCTGGGTCACAGGCCCTCGCGCTCTGCGCCGCGCGGCAAGCGCGGTGCTCCTCTTCGCCCTCGCGCGCGCGCGACCCCCTCCCGCGAGAGGCAGGGCAGCGCTCTGGCCCGGACCGCGGAGCGCGCGACGGCCTTCGCGCGCCCCTGCGAGCGCCCTGGGCCGACGGGACCTGCCTCTCGATTCCCTGGCCGCGGCTGCTGCAGGCCCGTCCTGCCGCACACCGCTGCCGTCCCTGCGGTCGTTGCAGGCGCCACGGGTTGATTGTCACACTTCTGGCCATCGCTCGGACGTCCATTCCCTGTGCTTTTTTCAGTTTCGTGCGCGGCTCTTTCGCTAAATGATCAAGGATGCTCCTCGATGGTCCTCGCCGAAAGAAAGATGCACACGTCCGAGCGATGCCAGGACTTCCGCGCAGAGGAGGGAGGTCTTGGGTCGGCGGCGTGCCCGGGGGGGGGGGGCAAGCGAGAGGGGGCGGTGCCTCCTCTCGGAAGGCTCGGACGTTCCCCCCGGCCTTCCGAGCGGCTTCCTGAGCCTGCACCCGAAGACGCAGTAAGCTCCTCGGAAGGCCGGAGAGGGCTTTCGAAAGCCCCGCCGCCATCTGAAGAGGCCTCCTCGCTCTCGCTTCCCCCCTCACCCTCGCTCGCCGCCGACTGGAGGAGGAGGAGGAGGAGGAGGAGGAGGAGGAGGAGGAGGAGGAGGAGGCGGAGGAGGAGGAGGGGGCGGGTTCGAGGCTCGTCCCCAGTCATCGGGCCTCCCTTGCCGGCCTCCTCGCGCCGCGCTCGCGGGCCCACGGTGTCGGGCATTCTTGCTTTTCGCGTGTCGCGACGCGCTGCGCCCTGCGAGCGGCGAGCGTTGTCGCTCGGCTCCGCG